GTCAGACACTTCTCACCCATTTACGCAAACAGTTCAGCGACAATGGAATTACGATGTTCAATGATCAATGGATGGAGAGAGGCCACACCATTGCCTCATCTCTCAAGACAGCCATTAGAGAATCGAGGATCGCGATCGTATTGCTCACAAAGAGCTATGCATCTTCCAGTTGGTGTTTGGATGAGCTTTTGGACATTGTCGATTGCCAAAAAAAATATGGGCAAATCGTGATGACTGTCTTCTACGGAGTAGATCCTTCTGATGTTCGCAAACAAACCGGAGATTTTGGGATCGCTTTCAAGGAAACTTGTGCTCATAAAACGGACGATAAGAAGCAAGAATGGAGCAAAGCTTTGAACTATGTGGGAAACATAGCGGGAGAACACTTCCAAAACTGGTTTGTAATCCCTTTAATTAATTACAGTTTCTCTTTCTTATGAGTTTGATGATTGTTACTAATTTTATACTTTTAATTTCGTGGGACATAAATTTTGCTAGTGTATGTATTATGTAATAAGTTGTGATGAACTGAAATAGTTTGATTATAGTTATATATATATCAATTCTTGATCAGAATTTGTAGTCGTTTCAATTCGTGTTATGTTTAGTCAAAATTTGTTATTGCTTCTTAAAACGTGTTTAGTTGTTTATTTTGGTCATAAATGTTTTGTGAGTGTGTTTAATTAATTTTTGAGGAAAGCCATAATTGGGTGGTTTATGTGCAGCTAGGAAACAGAGGAAAGTGTCTTTATGAATTTTTTCTGTTTCTTTTTGTTAGGGACGATGAAGCAACAAAGATAGAGAAGATTGCAAGAGATGTCTCACTTAAACTGAATTTCACACCGTGTAAGGATTTTGATGGCAAGATTGGACTAGACAATCATGTGAGGGAAATGGAGTCTTTGCTTGATTTTGATAATCTTGGAGTTAAGATTGTTGGAATCTCTGGTCCTGCAGGCATTGGTAAGAGTACCCTTGCCGGAGCTTTATATAGTCGACACTCTAGTAAGTTTCATCTTTCTTGTTTTGTGGACAAGCTTTGGGAACACTATAAGATTGATATTGGTGAGCATCGTTTGAAGTTGCGTTTACATGAGGAACTTTTTTCGAAAGTTTTGAAACAAAATGGTATGGAAATAAGTCATTTAGGTTTGATAAAAGAAAGGCTTCAATATCAAAAGGTTCTTATCATTCTTGATGATATGGAGAGTTTAGCTCAACTAGAGACTTTGGCTCCTGATATTACTTGGTTTGGTCCTGGAAGTAGGATCATTGTGGTCACTGAAAACAAAAAGATTTTGAAGCAGCACGGTATTAATGTTATATACAAAGTGGGGTTTCCATCAAATGAAGAAGCTCTAGTGATCTTTTGTCTTTCTGCTTTCGAAAAAACCTCTCCACCTGATGGGTTTTGGGATCTTGCGATTGAAGTTGTAAGAATTTGTGACAACCTTCCATTGGCTCTGTGTGTTTTAGGGTCATCATTGCGGGGAAGTAGCCATGGTGAGTGGAATGATGAACTGCGAAGGTTTAAAATATCTCTTGATGGAAGAATTGAGAGTGTATTGAAAGTGGGTTATGAAAGTTTACATGAGAAAGACCAAGTTCTTTTTCTCCTCATTGCAGCCTTCTTCCATTATGCAAGTGTTGATGATGTGACATCCATTTTCTACGATACTAACGTATTGGATGTTAGACTTGGGTTGAAAAACTTGGCTAATAGATATCTCATACGTATGGATCAAGGTATAGTGGTAATGCACAGTTTGCTACGCCTAATGGCTAAAGAAGTTAATTCCAAACAAAAAATTTCCAAACGCAAGATTTTAGAAGATCCCCAGGATATTTGTTATGTTCTAGAAGAGGCAAAAGTAAGTTTTCTTAATTGAAGGGATTTTGCATTTTTTTTTTGTTTTTTTTTTTTGGCCAAGGATTTTGCATTATTAACCATGTTATTATTTAAGCAGATTATCTCTGGGCACTAACATGTTATAGTTTGGAATATTTGTTAGGGTACTGGATCAGCTTTAGGTTTATCACTGGACATAGCAAAGATCGACGGATTAAAAATAAACAAGAAGGCTTTTATAAAAATGTTCAACCTTCTTATTTTAGAAGTCAAGGGTGGGAGAAATGGCGGAGAAAGACAGATGTACTTACCAGAGGATATGGAGTTTCCAACTAGCCTAAGGTTACTACATTGGGAGGCATATCCGAGAAAATCATTTCAATTTGACCCAAACTATCTCGTTAGACTTGAAATGCAGGGTAGCAAGCTCGAGAGGCTATGGGAAGGAAAAGGAACCCAGGTTAGTTATAGGGATAATGATATTTGATAATAGAAATATGGAATAATTGGAGATTTAGTACATTTTGATAAAGAAATTAGCAAAATAGTACAAAAACTATTTTTGTACTATTATAATTAGAGAAATACACAATGATTACTATTCGACACTATTTGAATGACTCTCAAACCCTTAATTGAATGTTATAATTACAAGCATGCCATTAATTTTATAATACTATTAAATTTAATTATTTGCATAGCAATAGTTACATAATATGATATGTACGCTTATTATAGTGTATAGATACACATACATATACACAATTTTTATTTTTACAGTCATATTTACTGTATATTATATAAGTTATAAGAATAAAATATGTATATATGTACATATATAATTGTATATATATAATAATACATATATATAATTGTACATATATAAACACTGTACAATTGAAATATATGTACAAAACGTACAATCGTACAGAATAATGTATGTACAAATACAATTGTACGGATATAAAACATTGTACATCAGTATTTCTGTACAAATACGTTTTTCTGTACAAACAGATAAATGTATGAATCATAATTTGTATAAAATATATTTGAAAATATTAAATAATATGCATATCAAATTGTAGAGAAAAAAAAGAAAATGATTTTTCTAATTCTAAAGTTTTTTTAAAAAGAATTCAAACAATTATTATTTTAGTTATTAAATTAATGGGAGAACTAGGGATGGACCCGCACGTAATTTCAAAAGTTTGTATTACATACATGCGTATAGGGTTGATTTCAATATATTACATATGTGCAAGATAAAGTTTGTAAACGTATTTTTAAGTAATGTTATTTAATTCATAATCAGAAGAATTCGTATCAGTTTCATGTCGTTTTTAATTCGATTTAGATAAAGAAATTATCAGATTTGTTTTCGTTAAGTTAAGAACATTACATAAAAGAAAATTAGTAAAAAAAAAAGTCACAAAAGTGACTATTTCATAACCGTAATGTCTCATCTATATCATGTTTTCCATCTTATAATCATGGTTTTAAAACTCATTTGAGATTATATATTTTAGTCTAACATATAAAAGAATAGGTAAGAGTTTCGGAGCCACAAATACGTTTGCTTTGCTTTCTTCAAATTTTTGAATGTATGAAATAATAATCGCTTTAGATCGACATGATAGCGGACCCGGAGAAAGTGTAAACCGGATTAGTGATAATCTAAATTTCTATGTAAATCGTGAACTATCAAACCAGGTAAAAACAACATAAAACACTAAAACTTCTTGAAACAAATGACCTAAATATAGTTGTCAAGCGAGTCAAACTCGTCCACTATGTCTAGCCTGCAACGAACTACAATATTTTAACCCCCAAAAACCCGTTCTTCGAAATTCGCATGAGTAAATAGTATATATGTATCTCCCTTAGTTGAAT